ATTTCTAAGTAATCTGTTTAAATGTCATTAGTCATTAGCTCTAAAGAGAAAGCCATTAACCCCAAATAGAATTTCTATACAATTATCTGGCGGTGAATTTTATTCAGTGCCAAGGTGCCTCAAGGGCAGAGGGTAGAAAGAAGGCTGGAGGAACAGGGCTCTTATGACTCAACTTCAACCAGAAGCTTCATCTTGTGTGTCTTATATATTGGCGTTCTTATAAAATTCAGCCAAATCTTGTTTTCTAGCTGATTCCAGTATTAAAAAAAGAACATTTAGGAACAACTGGCCTTTGTGGCTTAACAAGGTGATTTAAATATTCATTATATACTCATAGAGCATCATATATTCACTTAAATGATTACCATAAATACTTTAATATATGGTTAGCTAAAAATATTCTCATAAACAATGCAAAACTTACATTCCCACTAGTGGTAAGGAAGAAACCTTGGGATCAGATTCCAGCAAAAGTAACAATTTGCGTGTTTCATCCATGGTAAGGTATCTAAATAGAAGACATTTATATAAAAATAATGGAAAGTATTACATGCTGTACTCTTACCTAAAAGAAATTATTATTCTAAATACAGAACAAGCAAATTTTAGGTTCAAATGAACAGTGGCTCTCTGAGACACCCACGATTGTCCATGTGTGAGCACAAGCTCTTGGATCACATAGAAAATGTCTTTAGAAAGACTGGTGAGAAGAAGCGATTTGATATTTTAAAACTTGAAACTATTAAAATGGTCACTAAGAATTAACCATTCTTAAAAAATTCGGCCCAAAGTATCAACATCACTTAATCAAAAGTGTTAAAACTAAAGCAGGCATTTTTTTTTTTACCAATTAAGTTGCCATGGGAGCAATGAACTCCCCTTCACTGGAAAGTCTACGTATCCAGGTGGTTTGGCAAGGATGTGACCGAGGGGACCACTCATTGAAGGACCCTGACTTCGGTCAGCTACATTCAAGTTCCAAATCTGACAGCCCTCCAACCACTAATTATGAAAGAAATTTGGAACCATCATGGTACACGTAGCACTGCAAAGCTCATGGCTCCCTCAAAATACATCATTCAAGGGGGTGTTTGAAGCTCCTTCTACCTTACACTTTCAAAGATATGAAAAACTGCAGAACTGTTGAGATTCAAAATAAAATGATTGTTATGCTATAAAAACAAAGTGTTAATGATATAATACTTAGTTACCATTGAGGATATATTTTGTTGCTATTATAACCTTTAAACAGAAATAATAAATTTATCAGAATACAAGATTACATCTGAGTTGGCAGATTTATTTATCAAAATGACACTCGGTCCTGCTTTGGAAACTCTCCCTATAACTTGTTCACCTAATAAAACCTTTGAAACTCATTTCTTTGAAATAAAGAAATACTTTAAAGAATCAACTCAGGGTTCGATGATTTTTCCAGACAGCATGCACACACCTTCATGCTAGTCTCACACTATTCATATGCATCATGACAGCATATCATGCTGTATGTTTACATGTTAAGATGAGAGAGCTTCAAAAAGTTCATGGAAAAACTCCATTAAAAAAAAAGATGTACATTTCATTGACATTCAAGGGGGGTACCACCCAAAAAAATCCGCAATTTTTAACAAAGCTATATATTTAAACTTTTTTTATAAAACAACCTTATCACTTTCAAAGTACACTCCATTATACTTAATACATTTGTCAAATCTGCAATTCCAATCTTCGAAGCACTTTTCAAATTCATCTGTTTGGATGGCTGACAGCACCTCCCTCATTCTTTTCTTCACCTCTTCTATACCTTCAAATCACTGCTCTTTCATGGCCTTCTTCATTTTAGGAAACAAAAAGAAGTCTCACGGAGCGAGGTCAGATGAGTAAAGTTTGTGGGACAAGAGAGATGTCCTTTTTTTGGGTGCCAAAAACTGGCACACTGAGATGGCTGTCTGAGTAGGTGCATTGTTGTGGGTGGCAAAACAAGTTCCCTGCCTGCCACAAACCAGGCCTTTTTTGTCGTACATGGTTATGCTATCTTTTCAGAACCTCGACATAGAATAGTCTGACCTGGTGGGAAGAACTCCAAATGCACTACCAGCCGACATTTTCGTCTATTCAGGAAGTTGCCAGACATCCAGAACAAGGTTTGTCATCAATCAACATTTCACCTTTTTTGAAATGAGAAAACCACTCATACACTTGGGTTTTATCCATAGCGCCGTCATTGTAAGCTGTGGCATTCTGTGGCATTTTTGCTGAGCAGGAAACAAAATTTCACAGCCTCGTGCTGTTCTCTTAAATCAGCCATCACAAAAAATGAGATTTGAGCAAAACTGCTTTAACAGAAATATTCACTGTGGCCAGAGAACCTCCCCAGGGACGCCACTGAGTAGACTAACTCCGAGTGAGCTGCATGATGCTCACCTAGCGGGAAAAAATGCATACTAGAAAAACTCTGCTCTACCCAGCATAATCCGGTTTGGGGGGGGGGGGGGTACCCCCAACCTAATTCATATATCATGCAGCTCAGTGGTTTAAACATAACTGAAAATAGATGTGCAATTATCACTACAATATTTTTTTCCCATTCTTTTTTAACTCCATATTTTCATGAACTTCTTGGATGTTTCTTCCTACTTAACCCATAAGTGTGCTTTCTTGTTTTTTTCCTATTTATTTATTTAGGTCTTTTTAAAAAATTGTAAATTAGGTGAGGCTTTACATTTCAGATCATCCACTTTGTATTCAAGTTTAATCTACCAATCGACCTCCACCCAATAGTTTGCTCCGCCTCTGCTCCCTCTTGCCAACACGAGCCTCCACTTCTCACAAGTTAGCACCAGTGTCCTCCTTAATAGATTGCTTTATTTTCCCTCATTTCCACCCCTTACTCTCTCCACATCTGCTTCTTTTAGTATAAAAGCCTTTCTTGTTTCTTTTCCCTCTTTTATCACAGTGGTCCAGTACACTAGTGGTCCTTTTGTGATCCTCCAGCTTCACTCAGCCTCTTCTTCTTCAGGCCCATCCGTGCCATGAGCTGTTTCATGGTTTCCTCATTGCTTTCTAGTGATGCAGCGTGTTATGGCCCCAAGTTTCTCTCTCCATTCTTCTAGGAATCGGCATGTTTTCTTTCTCTTTTTCTTTCTTCCAAACAGTCTTCTTCCTTGTCCTTTACACTCCACACCTCAGCCTGCTTGGTGGTCCACGTGGAGATGGGAGACTGGAGGGCGGGAGAGAAGGGGAGGGGAAGGAGGACAAGAGGAAAGGGAATAGAGGAGCGAGGACGGGGAGAGGAAGAGGCAGCCAACCTGAGGCCAAGGGCTCCTTGTTTTTTTAATACACACTTATTTCTAGTGCTTAACCCAATGCCTAGCCCAGAATGGAGGCAAATAAGAGACGATCATCAAATGTGGCCCAGCGCAAGGGTAAATGTCAAACTAATAGATGATTCTAGGTAGGAAAAGGGCAAGGCAAATGTGAGAGAACAGAAGAGCGCCATCTCGGGTCAGTACTCCCAGCACACCAAACATTACTAACAGAAGGACCGCTCTTTTTCTCATCCACCTTTAAGGAGACATTTTCAAAGAACAAGACTTGGAGTGGACTGCATAGCGGCAAAAATCTTTTGGCTCTAGAAACCTAACAGGAAGTTGGGTAGAGTCAACGGGAAAGGAAGCCAGAAGTGAGTTCCTTTGGGCTGCCTCTGGTCAGCCTAATTTTGAAACATGCCAGTATTATCTGACCTGGTTCAATAGCCAATAGGTAGGAAAAGTAGATGAGGATGCAGGGAAGCATCCCTGCTGAGGATTAGAAAGCGCTTTTCTAGCTTCTGTTTTCTAAGAAACCTAGGTGTCCTGGCAGGAAGCAGAAGATACTGCGTTAGCTCTGTAAGGAAACTCTACTCTCATGTAGTTGGACAACTGGGTAAGTAACAGTTCTTAAACTTTTTATTACGTTATGCCCTTTCTTTACGATGGACACTAATAAAACTACGCAATATAAATACTCACGCCTCCTTAGGTTTACTGTTAGTCAAATTAGATCATAAAAGCAAAATAAGGACCAACCAAGGTACGGGATATAAAGTCTTTTCTCCAGTTTGCTTCCCCCAAATATATGTCAGACCTAGGACACTGCTTGCAACTAATGGTAAATGATTGTCAAGTTATCTCCCTGAAGGCATCAGCCACCCAGAGCAGTCAAACTACTGTCTGGTCCACCGTAGGTGGGGCTCACTCCTTGCTGTTAAGGACCGTGGATTGCTTTCCCTAAAGGGCTCAGAATAAATCACACCAACAGCTCAAAGACGATCACAGTTAAGCCACCATCACGAATCTAGGATCCGCCCATCTTGTCACATGTATACCCCTAATCCCTCCTCTTCTTATTGCATGTACATCCCTAGATCGCCCCCCCCCCATTGTTGTATTGCCTATGATGCTACCCCTTCCTGTGACGTACGTCGTTACCTATAATCAGGGGCTTGCATGCCCCCAAAGATATATAAGCCTTGGTTAGAAATAAATCGCTCTCTCCTTCTGCACTTCTACGTGGACCATCAAGAGAGGCTGAGGTGAGCGTGCTACCATGAAATATGTCTGACTCCTCTATTTTACTCTCTCCTAGTGCTCTTATTCTCTATCACTTCACTACAATCTTTATATATTCTAGCCACACAATTACGCCTACCAGACCCATGGTTAGTTGTTAGAGGCTGGCTCTCCTGACACCGAGGCAACATGTGAAGGATAAAATGGTAAGAGGATAGTTTCTCCTTACATTTTTAAATCACAAAAATTTAGTATAATTTTTTAATTTTACATTATTACTTTATTATCATTTATCACCAGTTTTTCTTGTGATAATGGTACAATTCTTAGAAAGGAAACTACATTTAGCAAAAAAGTAACATCTTTTTATCTTCTTTGATAATTTGGCATGTCACTTCAGATCTCTAGCATGTACACAGACCGCACAAATATTATGTAGCCATCCTGAAAATGCATTATTATAACTAATATTTTAAAATTTAGATTAATATTCCTTACTTACCCATATTTATAGGTTCCTTGAACTTGAGAAATACTCAGATTACTGCTCAAGTTTCTTGCCAAGGCTGTTGGAATTATGGGGATAGGCTTCACAGGTGTGCATTTAAAGGAATTCGCTAGAGTTAGTACTGTCCAGTGAAAGTCAAAATCCAGCGTGTCCAAACTCTCCCTGGACGTTATGAGAGATCGTAGGGAAAGCAGCTTACCACAGTCCAAGGAATCTTTGCTACATACATGGTGCTGCAGCGCCTGAGGAATCAATATTAGACAGTTATTTTAAAACTCTGAAACACGTCCACATCTCTAAATGTTTTTGTCTCACATGGGGTACGTGTGTATGTGTGTGTGTGTCCACCACCCAGCTTTCGGTCTGCTGTACCATGGAGGCTGGCATGTTGCCATGATGCTGTGCCACTGGCATTTATTCCCCGATCAGCAGGGTCACTCATGGTGGCCAGGCTTCAGCGGCACTTCCGCACTGAGAGACTAGGGAGAAACCTGCAGATCTACTTCTGAAAACCAGTCAACGGGACCTTATGAAAAGAAAACCTCATGATTCGCAACAGAATATTGTCCAATATTGGGGACGAAACTGAACCCCCTAAATTGGAACAAAAAAAATCAAACTCACTGCCATCGACTCAATGCTGGCTCATAGTGCCTTGTGGGTGTCCGAGACTCCAACTGCTCATGGGAATAGAAAGCCCAGTCTTTCTCCTAAGAAGCAGCTGGTGGTTTCGAACTCCCTTCTATGTAGATCACAGCCCAACGGGTAACCACAACACCACGAGAGAAGGCACCCCAAATACATAATGGCCACAACAGCAGCCTCAAGGTGGGCAGGGCCAGGCCCCGCTTCACTCGGGTGTGCATCAGGAGCCAGGGCGTGGTGCACACCTGACAACAACAGTCCAGCGTAGCTTACACTGACAACAATGAGAGGAGCTCTGATGGTCAGAGCTTCCCCGGGACCAAGAAGGTTACATGTATCATTATTTCAAAGGAAATTAAAATGGGCTGCCCCAAACATTACTACAAATTTCAAATTAGAAAAATATTCAAATTTCTATGTCCAGTAGCACTTCGCCTTCCTGTTGGGAAATGTTACCCACAGTAAATATGTACATAGGGAAATCGATATCTAAAGTCCATTCTGCTGGTTCCTGTCACTCCATTGCCAAATTAGTTCTTATTTGAGAGCTGTTCAATCTCACTGTGTCCTTTCTAGTCTGACTACACACTAATACGCTCCTCTCACATGTACAGCTGGTACTGGTGTCTCTGACTTCAGTCGGCCTTCCCAACCAAATTAACTACTCTTGATTTGACAGTACTTGTCAAATCTCCAGTGACTCTACATAACCCACATGACAAAGTTCAAATTACTCAGCCTTGCATGTAAGATCCTCTATAATTTGGCCGAAGGCCGAGTCTACTTTTAACACCAACAAATCCAGCAAGAATCTGTACCCACAATGACAGCCTGAGCACCTCTCACCTCTCTCCCATCCTGCTCTGTTGCTTCCTCTTCTGGAGTGGCAGATTGCTAACCACATCCCCTACCCAGCCTTTCAGCCCACAGAAAAGTGTATCTGAATTTTAGATCAATAAACATTGAATAAAACACACTATTCTTAGTTTGACTCCTAGTTGAATGACAAATAACGAAGTTATCAAGTGGACCTCACCTTAAAAGCTGAACTGAAGTCATCTGCACTGTGAACTATCATTTCTTTTGAAGAAAGTCCTTCTGTATCAACTTTACATGGAATCAAAAAGTCCCCAGGAAGAGAAGCAGTTGGAGATCTTTCTAAAGACTCAGGTACTTCTCGACCAGGATCAAAGCGATCTATAGTCAATGTCACACCTTCTTCATCTAAAGAATAAAGAAAATACCTATCATATTGCATGCTAATAAAAAAATGTGAACTGAGAGGAATTACTGAAACACGAATGAAGGCCGAACATAATTGTGGGACAAGAGGAAAGTAAAAGGAAATAAGAGGAAATAACTAGGAGGCAAAGGACATTTATAGAGGTCTAAATACAGGCATGTGCATATGTAAATATATTTATATGATGATGGGGAAATAGATCTATGTGCATATATTTATAAGTTTAGTATTACGGTAGCAGATGGACATTGGACCTCTACTCAAGTACTTCCTCAATGCAAGAACACTTTTTTCTATTAAACTGGCATACTGTAGTATTAAATTAAAAGTGGTGGAGATGCCGGGGAGTGGGATGCTAGCCCCACCCGCTACTAGAACTCACTGCTTCAGTAATACTACTTCTGGGTTCAGTAATGCACAATTGTACGGTTGAGATACTGTACATAAGTATTATATTAAAGTCATCGAGAGCATGAGAGATATTACAATAATGCAGTTGGACATATTACATGGTAGCATTGCTCACCTCAG